GTCTATGAGGGTAGAAAAAATGATGATCCAGTCCTAATTCCTCCACCTAAGCATTTGTTTACCTAATGATTTCCATATCACTAATAGGGGCACCTTATCAGTTCCAGTCTGATTAGCACAGACAGTGATTTCCGTAAAATCACTAATCTGCCTTTTGAACTCACCCGTCAATGGCGGAAAGGTGTGAGTCGCGCTACTTTTTTGTTAATTGGATCAGTTTGCTACACCAATCAACTTCTCATTGACTGACTTCGGCTTATGTATACAAGATTGCTGTTGTTTGAATCTCATGGGACCAAATTTCCTTCTCGAGTCATCGTGTGTATTTATGAGACGAATTCGTGTAACCGGAAATCAAATGATGACAACTATAACAGGGAATGGTCGGGACCGACAGGTACTTCGAGTTATGCATAATATTCGAGACACCGGCATTCGACTCATCGGGATTTGACTGTAGTTGTTATTTAACGTCTCCCTCAGCAACGTTCCAGCTATATGGGAGAAATAATATACACAATATAGCATCCAAATGAACACAAAACACGATTCCTTGCATTTGAGACCTGAATTACAGTGAAACCTGGTTAATCCATACTCTATTAAAATGGACACCTACTTTCTGGATATAACCTTTACATTATAATTCAAAACTTTATTTAAATTTTATTTTAAGGTGGATGGATTTGGAAACCAAACAGAAGCCTATCTGAGGATGGATTTCCCTGGACCGGTTGTTCATCCAAACTCTTGTAATCTGGATTAGGGTACAGTCCATATTAACAGGGTATCACTGTATATAGAGGAGACTATTCCAACTACATGTACCTCTAAATTTACCCCCAAATATTTCATCCAAGTCTGACCAATGCCGTCATGTGTCAGGCAGCACTACCTGAGATTCTGCCCAGGTTTATACAGTGACAGCCCACGGAACAACTTCTTCACGTATGGTACAACCACCATACCTCTTTAGCCAAATAAATACAATAAAATAATACACACTGTCTGAATATAATAAATACATTAAGTACACTACGCTGTGACAGACACAAATACACACATAAACTGCAAATGACCTAATCATCAATACATCGATCCTCATATTTACAACATATTGCCACATACTCTCTACTCCTCAGGTCACAATAACTTAATCATTGGATTTTCAACCAACTTTTTCAAACATAGAGCATATTTTATTTTCTCAAACTGTTCAAGGCATCTGTAGAAAGATTTGGTACATATATGTTAATTATAAACTAGTCTGTCTCGCAGTCCCTGAACCGCATTATGTTCCCTTATTCCCAGCCCTTTCTGCAATGTGGCGCCTAAAATGAAGAAAGTCTAGATTTCCTCAGGTTAATTCTCCCTATTCACTGGGCTTCTTTTCAGTTTAAAAGGAATTGTTTGTTTCTACCAAACTTTACATATTCAGAGACTAAGTGTTAGTCTAATTATAACCAGACATACAAAATGGACATGTATTTCCAACCACGCGTAAATCCTCAGGATGCTTGATTGATGAAAATGGACATGTATCAAAAACCAACCACAATGACGCACAACCGGGTCTTTTTCAGAAAACGCTTTAACCCTTAGGCTGAGCCTCTTTATTTGATTGATGAAACACATTTAGTGATAATACAAAATAATTATACACCCCAGCTGCTGTTTTATAAATCTGTAATATACATAAGAAAGCTTTGGTCTTTGAAGGGGCCCTTTAAAGGATTACAACAGATTGGTACAAACTTAGTGATGGTGTTTAATGGAGCTGAGGGCTGAATACGGTCAATATGGTATGGTGCTCTTCATTAAGTAAAGAACAAGGTGTGGAGATATGGGTTAAACATTTTGTGAGAGATCACTGCACTTACATAGCGCCATGAGTAAAGAAACATTGAAACAGACGTAGTGAGTTTCTTCATCTAAAGGCGGAACAATAATTACGAAAATCTAACAACTAAATTATCATGACCTCTGGATAGCTTATTACTGAAGCAAAGACAATGATAGTCATCGTCATAACAAAACCAGTAGTCCAACACAGGTTTCATAGATTATGGCACGAGTCACTCAGCTGTGACGTATATCAACAATAACAACGATTCCATATAGGCTCGATGGTGATGTAAATTAACAGAAAACAGCATTTAACAATATCAATATTTGAAATATAAACATCTTATTTGGCTAATCAAATTCAAAAACATTGAAACACTGCAGAAGATGAGATCACAACTGTTTCACTGATCTCCACTACTTGAAATGGACTTTAAATAACATTCAATTAAAAAACTAATGGGTTGCAAATACATTACATTAATTACATTTTATCACCAAAACATCTATTCTTTTCATGTAGCTTGAGTTTTATGGATGTAGAAGTGAACAAACCAGTGGTTGACATCACGAGTACAAAAGTGGCTGTTGTCATGACTACATAAACCGGTGGTTGACGTCATGACCAACAATCTGGGTTCAATGAAAAGAAGTCAGATCACACACTGTTACCACTCCATCTTCGCTAGTCATTACAAGCAAGAAGTACAGGAGTACCAGAATTCCTACAGGGCGATACGAAACATCCACAATGCTCTAACTTAAGGTAAATATTATCATGGACAAGCATGGTGCTCATAGCCTGAATATCTACACATACCTGTTGTCTGCTTAGACACTGTCCATAAGGTACACATTACAGCAATACTGACCGACATTATTAAATATACAAAACCTGAAGCCATAACATCAGTAAAATGTATGTTACTTGGTAGTGACAGTAAAACCTTTCACAAATATCCAAGAAAAGATATTTGGATATTCACCTGGGCCCCGTTTCACAAAGTGATTGTAACTATAGTCTGTTTGACTCAAAAGCAGACCGATGAATTGCAATCTAACTCGAAAACTAATAAACATAAAATACTCAATGAAACGCTGATCATAATCAAAACATCATACCCACTCTGTGAGGTTTTTGCAGAATTCTTGTCCTACAAATAAAAAAGTTATTGAACAAACTATCATTAAAATATTGACACAGTTCACTATTTGTTACGAGGGAGGAGTGCAGAGAAAGTGACAGACAGGTGTTCGAGAAGCACGTTCACAGACAAAGTTATTGATTCATTAACCTGTGCTGTCTCCATCCGTTCTCGAACACCTGTCTGTCACTTTCTCTGCACTCCTCCCTCGTAACAAATAGTGAACTGTGTCAATATTTTAATGATAGTTTGTTAAACAACTTATTTATTTGTAGGACAAGAATTCTGCAAAAACCTCACAGAGTGGGTATGATGTTTTGATTATGATCAGCGTTTCATTGAGTATTTTATGTTTATTAGTTTTCGAGTTAGATTGCAATTCATCGGTCCGCTTTTGAGCCAAACGGACTATAACATACTTTAACATAGACTTATGACAGTCGTAGCACTACGACCGCTTTGTGAAATGGGCTCTGAATACTATCATCTCGAGTCAGGTAGACATTGGTGTAAGTGCTGATAGATAAAATAAATATTCTGAACTGGTTGCAACACACGGTCACAGAGAATGTTACGTCCCGATTCTGCAGGCAGATTACTGAAACAAATTTTGGTTGGTTTCAATTCAATTACTTTCTTTTCATACATATTTAAAGATCAATAATATTAAAATTCTATAGATATAATTTCATCTGATATAGAAGTAGTTTTAAGGAAACACTTATACAATCCCCAATTTCATTGCATTAAAGAAACATATGAAACATAAATACATATAGTACTGTCTGAATATGAAACAACAAAAAAACAATTATTAGATATTCTTCAAAATGAGACAAATTCTTTGAACACATGTCAACAATATATGTCAAAAGATGGTCACACAGCAAAGAGAATCAAACACTCTCCGAGAAATATCAATAAGCGAATAAGCAACCATTATGCAAGGGAGACAAATTTACCTTCAAGAACTCGCAGAGACAGAACTAAGGGACCAACCATTTGATCTTCCCAGGAGGGGGGTAGGGAGTTAAAGAAAAGAAAATTTTGCAGAAAATGCTTGAAAGAAATAATGATGCACCTGATACAAAATGCTTTGGAAAATAAATGATTCTGAATTGTCTTATAGTTTTACTGGTCTCGCAGTTGAAGCTGAAATTATCCAGTCGTCACATTGATGCAACCCCTCCCTGAATATCAAAATAGTTGGTACCACACTCACACAGTGCATCAAGTATTAACATTTAGCAGACTTCTACAAGAGAGCTTTGTTAGGACTTGGCAATATTTCAACTCTGATTACTAATAATCTTCTGTACTTAATACCAAAAGGACATTTAGACAAGAAGGTGAGAGTGTGTTATTACAAAAAAACAAAACACTTCAAGTCAGAGACAAATTGTTGATCATGTGAGTACTGACCATGGAAATTAGTTTGTTGTATCTCTACTTGTTACCATGGTTACAAGAATAAACCATGATTTGAGAACACGTATACAGTGTTAAAAATGGGACTTTATTGTATCTGGTAGACTGATTATTTATTTGAAATGTCTGAGTAAATTGTGCTACACTTTATATTTCATAATCAAAATCATAGTCATAATATAGTGTAAATCAATAAATATTAGAAATAGTTATGATGGTAAATAATAACTTGTGAGAAATGGAAAAAGATTTTTAACAAATGGATGAGATAAATGAATGCGAGTAGCATAAAATCTGTGATGCCGTCTCAGAATCTCCATCAGCTGGTAGTCTGGTGTGTTGGGAACAACACACACTACCATAGCTCCAGACCTTGCCTCAACAATGGCCACACGTTTTTATTAACATAGTCTACAAATCCACAAGCTCCAAACATGAAGTGTAAAAAGATAGGAAAAGCAGTGGGTTTTTTACACCACTGACCAGAAAAATATATGTTTGCAAAAAGCTCAGAAATAAATGATTAAACTTGAAATAATTAAAAACTGTCAGAATGAATCTCCCAAACTTCATCATGTTTTCCAATCTACTCTTTTTTGAAAAATAATAATAATGTATTTTATACTGGAATTTATATTTTTGACCAACCTATTAACTTCCTTTGGCCCTAAAACTGTAAACACACACACCCCACCCACCCCCAATTTTGAAAAAGAAAATCAACATCATCTGAAGCACTCATAAAATCTTGTTCACCATCATCACCTTTAAAACTGCAAAGACGAAAGAAACACCAATAAAACTTTCATATTTTACTATGTACAAACACTGATCTGTCTAAAATAGATTCAACCAATAGAATTACCAGGATTACAATTCAGTCATTTGCCACAAATTTTACATTTAATATTTTGGGGGATGTTTTTGTAGAATTTAATGGTAATATGAAAGAATAAGGTGTCCATTAACTTCAGTTGTTTTGTACGTATATGAGTGAGTGAGTGAGTGAGTGAGTGAGTTTAGTTTTACACCGCTTTTAGCAATATTCCAGCAATATCGTGGAGGGGGACACCAGAAATGGGCTTCACACATTACGCCCATGTGGGGAATCGAACCCAGGTCTTCAGCGTGACGCACAGCACCTTAACCACTAGCCTACCCCACTGCCCACGTTGCTAAAGCTCACCCTAGGAGCAACTAGGAAAATACACACGGTGAAATTTCTAAGTCGTAACGTGTTCAGTTTTACCTCAGTAAGGTCAAGGTCAGTTACAATTGTTCAAAACAGTTTTTGTACTTGAGAGCACAAATGAGACTGACATTTATGATGCATGAAGCAACAGGTTGAATGGCTTTGTATCAGTGACTATATTTGTGATAATTTACATGAGATAAATTTCACCTTTCATCTCACAATGTCTACTCTATTACGAGATCATGAGATACTTGTAAACTTAATTAATAACCTGAAGCCCGTGTCAAGCAATATCTAAGATGGGCAAGTGCATTCAGTGCATGAGTAAACAAAAGTAAAGTTTTTAAGGTCAAGGTCAAATGTGTATGGTGTATGGTATCTCTCTCTATCTTCATGACGTGAACTTTTTCTAGGTTACCATAGTTACTACATTTGTACCTCATGCAACCATTTCCCTAAAAGCTGTGCAAGACCTAAACTAACGGTGCCCACATGTAACTATGGTAACAGTGCAAGTTACAGATCAACAATAAATAGGATAAATAATTACATTAGTCATTAAGGTTATATATACAAATAAAAATAACATATAACCTGAACAGCATGGCCAGAGAGAATGGGGAACAGCTTCACAAAGGTGTTTTAGCTTATGCCAGTTACAGGTCTTTGATGACATGGCGTTACAATCCTTCTGTCACCACAGCAGCGTTATACACTAACTATCCATTGTCTAAGAGTGAGTGAGTGAGTTAAGTTTTACGCCGCACTCAGTAATATTCCAGCTATATCCATTGTCCAAGAGGGTGAGTCGTGAATTTTGAAAGTCTACCACCTCGCCCCCTCATTTCTATCACCTCACCCCTTGCTTCTATCAAACCACAGCCTTACTTCTATCACTTCACCCCCTTGCTTCTATCAAACCACAGCCTTACGTCTATCATCTCACCCCTCGCTTCTATCAAATCCCTCACTTCTATCACCTCACCCCTCACTTCTACCACCTCACCTCTCTCTTTCCGCAGCTACAATCTAGCCATACTGTTCAAGCTAGTTTGTTGACAACATCTGACTAGAGACAACTGCAATGATGTCTGTGAATCACATTCTTCCCTCCCTTCACTATTGGCACTCATCACTTACTTCACATCTTTGTCATTAAGGGAAGCAATCTTGTGAAGCGTTCATAAAATCATTTAACAAAACTTTAAAAAGGACACAAAATACTCACAATGTTCTGTGTGACAATCACAATGGACGTAACAGTATTTCAACAGCATATTGTTTATAATATTTATATTCTAATCCATGTACAAATCTGGAAATCTATGGACAATTACTTTCAACAGGGCCATCCTGTGATAAATTAGCACTTGTAATATGACGATATCATTAGTAAAGCATGGACGCAAACTTGTTGATATATAAGCCATGGCGAGCTCTCTTCGGTCGTCTGGAGTGTGTCAGTCTGTAGCACTTTGTTGACACTCAGACCATCTGACCTTCATCTTTGATTGTCAGTAACTTTCCTTGCTTTCTTTAATCTTCCGAGCCAGGCAGCAGGCGAATATTATACCAAATATCTGAAACAGGTTTACGTGGTAAATATTAATACAAAACAGATGATGCTATTAGATACCCAAGTAATCGAGAATGCTGAAATTAAAGTGACAGTTAAGATAATTGGCCCAATTATTCAACATGAACTCGACAAAGGTACCTGCTGAAGCATTCTCTTCCCTCAGAGTTTACTTGTCATATCTTCCTACGAACCTCTGTTCTAATACGGCCATATTTCCCGGTTCTCGTAAAATCCCCTAGCGGCAAAAAGTCGCAACACGAATTATCTCCCTTCTTTTTATCCAATCAGAACACGTGTTGCTTCGACTTAGATCCAGCTTGACTAATACAAACAAATGTGGGGCCACAAATGTCCCTCATCAGCAGGGAATTGTGTTGATGTGACACACAAGACATTTAATGGCTAGCTTGTCCGTTGTCAACGAGGGCGATGGAGATGCCATTGATCCGCCATTACATGACTGAGTTCTGTCTAGAAGAAACGTTTGCGCATCGCGCAGGGGAAGAGGTTCTAGTTTTCCCGAAGCATACGGAAATTACCGAGGCCTTGCGAATGATCACTTTTGAAACAACGTCGCTGATTGCACAACTAAATCTGATTGCAACCAATCACGAATCCTGAACACTCGCACCATGAAAGGGCCATATTAGAACAGAGGTTTGTAGGAAGATATGACAAGTAACTGCTGTGGGAAGAGAATGCTGCTGAAGAAGAAACCTAAGAAAATGTTACATTCTAACACACGTTTCCTATCTGATGCCATCCACTTTGGTCTTGGTGAAATGAAATCATACTAGAACCATGCCGGACTAAAGAAGCTTGTCTTACAAAACGTCGAGTAACCTACAGACATCTGACTTGTGAACACATCACTTACGTTGCTATGACACGGGAATGCATGGATGTCAGTTTCTGGGATATGACGAACATGATGTTCGGAGTATTGTCATATTCCTTCACCTCATGTACGAGTAAGAATACGCTCTGAAATTTTGTGTTCAGCATATTACGGAAGTTGACATCCATTAGTTTCCCTTTTATGTGTGTAACTTCTAAACACCGTTTAAAGACTTTATAACAGAGTATGAATTAAGGCCTGTCTGACCGCCCGAGACGGGCTAGATTTCTGACAGACGGCCAAAATTTAAAGCACGCCAGCCCAATGGTCTGGTAAAAATTTAGATAACATGTTCCATACATCTGAGTAAATTCACGATATCTTCAAATCTATTTTTCAAATAGAGCATTACATTTAGACTTGACAATTACTGTCTGAACACTGAACTATCGTATCGCGAGCTCACAGCACTGCGTTGACACTAAAACAGCGACACCTATCGATACACGGAGTCGGATTTCACTGAAATGACTGTTGTGAATAGACTGTTAGACAGTAAAATACATGTCTCAGGTTCATTAAATTATTCATTGTAACTAAAAATTTAGTTATTTTCCTTGGATTGTCTGGTCTGGTTAAATCCATTTTGGGCTGGTAACATTTTGAAGTTACCAGCCCTGATGTCTGCTGGGTTGTAACTTATTTCATACTCTGTTTACAATGAAATCACTTCATGTCTCCTGCAATCAGACCGCCTCCATTGTGTAGTGGTTAGAGCGTCCGCCCAGAGAGCGGAAGGTCGCTGGTTCGATCCCCGACCGCGTCATACCAAAAGACGTTAAAATATGGTACTTGTTAGTCCCTGTCTGGCGCTCGGCATTAATGGGTACAACAAGGACTGGTCGGCTCGGAATCAGTATAATGTGTCTGAGCGGGGTATTTATGCTTCACTGCGGCATGGTATCTCAGTGGGCTAGCACTATAAAACCAGCTTAAATCTGGGCTAGTACAAGCAGCCGCACATACACATACACATGCATGCACGTCATCATATGAGCGAAATATTCTCAAGCACGAAGTTAAACCCAATTTCACCTCACCTCCTGCAATCACTTCCATTTGGGGGAACCTAATGTCCCTTGCTAGACAAGATTAAAACAATGTCCCATGCAGAGAGACATAGAGTACTGTCATTTCTGGATGTCCTCAGATACGACATCCTTGGGCTATTCACAGACAAGACAAGTGGACATACCTGTAACCTTGGTAACCAAAGAACTAAAGAAGTAAGAAACAAGAATGAAAGTATTATCTTAACTCTTAAAGTCGACATGAAATGAAATGAGATGTATGTCTATAAAAAAGTATTGTATTAAATTCTTCATGTAGCCAGCCCAAGAATTAAGACACATAAAATGATTACATTAAGTTGTTAACATGGTGTACTGTACCTGTACACAACACAGACCCAGTCCTATCCCGCCAATCAGAATCAAGTGTTTCTTGACCGATTCCTCCAAGCGTGGGGAGCAACCCTAGAACAGGGAGAGGAACAATGATTCTAGCATGACTTTGGAGTGAGTGAGTTTAGTATTACGCCGCTTTTAGCAACATTCCAGCAATATCATGGTTGGGGACACCAGAAATGGGCTACACACATTGTACCCACTGTGGGGAATCGAACCCGGGTCTTCAGCATGACGAGCAAAGGCTTTAACCACTGGGCTACCCCACCGCCCTGCATGACTTTGATGTCACATGTGTATTTATACTGTAAACAACTCTGATCAAACAGTATATTTGACAGCCATATAGAAAACATGGAGAATCTGTACGAAATGGTAGAAGAATCTCGAAACAGTACAAGAATCTGTGTTCGAGAACTGGTACAAGAATCTGTATGTATCGAAATGGTACAAGAATCTGTCGAACGGTACAAGAATCTGTATTGAAAGCGGTACAAGAATCAGTACGGTACAAGAATCTGTATTGAAACGGTACAAGAATCTGTATCGAAACGGTACAAGAATCTGTATCGCAACGGTACAAGAATCTGTATCGAAACGGTACAAGAATCTGTATCGAAACGGTACAAGAATCTGTATCGAAATGGTACAAGAATCTGTATCGAAATGGTACAAGAATCTGTATCGAAATGGTACAAGAATCTGCATCGAAACGGTACAAGAATCTGTATCGAAACGGTACAAGAATCTGTATCGAAACGGTACAAGAATCTGTATCGAAACGGTACAAGAATCTGTATCGAAACGGTACAAATCTGTATCGAAACGGTACAAGAATCTGTATTGAAAACAGTACAAGAATCTGTATCGAAACAGTACAAGAATCTGCATCGAAACGTCGCACTCACGAAATAAAGAAGTTGTTATCCATAAAGTTTGTTCTATTTTGTCAGTAGGCATTTTGAAATAATTACATGTACAATTACAGCTCAGAAACATCTTATATACCGTCCAAATTCAATTTAGTGAGGTTGAATCTACAGGTAACTTGGATCAATATTGAAATACGATATGTTTACCTGTTATATCCTAATGCATTGTCTTAAATATGGAATTTCAAGCGTTAGAAAATAACGGTTCTTAACACATGTGGTACAAGCTAACTTTCATCACAAAACATATCACTCCTGTATTTTTGAGTCCCCCCAAGGATTAACTCAAGGCTACCAGGGGATCCATACCTTCCAGTAGATGTTGGAAGGGGAGTCACTCTTGCCGCACAACTGCATCGGGGAGATGCAGCAGCTGTCGGGCACCACATTCTCCGTGGCCGTGTCCATCTTCAGCCAGCGCGAGTAGTGCCAGTCTTTGTACGAGCCGGCGCCACAACACTGGAACTGGAGACACCATGTACAGTTAGTCCTGATCTCACAGAGCTCGATTTAGGGCTTTGTTACTTGCACTGGTGCAACCCAATATTACAAAGTGCAACCTAGTTATTAGTCTAACTTGCACCAGGTGCAACTCAATTTTTTTAGTAGGTAATGAATAAAACATCTAAATAATTCAATAGCATATTTCTTACATTACATATTGCAATAAAATCAGTGTAACTGGAATTTGGCTGGTGCAATTAGGTTTTTATCTTACGTTGCACCTGGTGCAAGTAGGTTAACATCTTTTAAATCGAGCCCTGTCTCAGTTTGTACTGCACTATATAACACATTCAGGGTACACCATGTTTGCTTTGACTGGTGGGGACACTATTCTACCCCAGACTGAGAGCATATTTCATTTCAGTTACATTTTTAATCCATAACTACATAAAACTGTCTTGCAATATTTTGGTGATGTTTATAAATTCAAATGTCCATTAGGTAAACATAAAAATCTGTGTCGTGAGTAAGAAATGACATTTTGCTCAAATTCATGTGTATGATATAGTGGTAAAAATATGCAGTATCAGTTTCTTAGAAATAGGAATCTATCCACGCAGTTCTATCAAAGGGAGGCAACTCACCTCCTTTTGCATGTCGTTGACTGCATCTGTGATGCTGTTGTAGAAGTTGTAGTTGTTGATGATTGTGTGATTCAAGTTCCTCGTCAACTCCTCTCGGATCTGAATCAGTACATAATGTGTTAACAACGCTTCGTTCATATGTTTCAAGAAGAACAGAACTAAACACTCTAACACGGTCCTGTATTTAGTACTGTATACAATCAACCTATTCCACTCCACACAGTAAATGCTCGGACTCTGGGTGGCGAAGACAAATTCCATAAAAAGGATCGTCCATACTCAACCATATTCTAGCAACATACCAGCATCCTGATAACAGATTTGGTTGGTTTGTTGTTTAACGCCCGACTCAATAATCAAGTCTGGACCAGACAATCCAGTGAGCATCAATCTACACAATTGGGATACGATGACATGTATCAACCCAGTCAGCGAGCCTTGCCACCCGATCCCGATATGACATCAACCAAGTCAGCGAGCCTGACCACCCGATCCCGATATGACATCAACCAAGTCAGCGAGTCTGACCACCCGATCCCGATATGACATCAACCAAGTCAGCGAGCCTGACCACCTGATCCCGATATGACATCAACCAAGCCAGCGAGCCTGACAACCCGATCCCGATATGACATCAACCAAGTCAGCGAGCTTGACAACCCGATCCCGATATAACATCAACCAAGTCAGCGAGCCTGACCACCCGATCGATATGACATCAACCAAGTCAGCGAGCCTGACCACCCGATCGATATGACATCAACCAAGTCAGCGAGAGCCTGACCACCCGATCGATATGACATCAACCAAGTCAGCGAGCCTGACCACCCGATCCCGATATGACATCAACCAAGTCAGCGAGCCTGACCACCTGATCCCAATATGACATCAACCAAGCCAGCGAGCCTGACCACCCGATCCCGATATGACATCAACCAAGCCAGCGAACCTGACCACCCGATCCCGATATGACATCTAACAAGTCAGCGAGCCTGACCACCCGATCCCGATATGACATCAACCAAGCCAGCGAGCCTGACCACCCGATCCCGATATGACATCTAACAAGTCAGCGAGCCTGACCACCCGATCGATATAAGCATCAACCAAGTCAGCGAGCCTGACCACCCGATCCCGATATGACATCAACCAAGCCAGCGAGCCTGACCACCCGATCCCGATATGACATCAACCAAGTCAGCGAGCCTGACCACCCGATCCCGATATGACATCAACCCAGTCAGCGAGTCTGACCACCCGATCCCGATATGACATCTAACAAGTCAGTTAGCCTGACCACCCGATCCCGATATGACATCTAACAAGTCAGCGAGCCTGACCACCCAATCCCGATATAACATCTAACAAGTCAGCGAGCCTGACCACCCGATCGATATGACATCTAACAAGTCAGCGAGCCTGATCCCGATCGATATGACATCTAACAAGTCAGCGAGCCCGACCACCCAATCCCAATATAACATCTAACAAGTCAGCGAACCTGACCACCTGATCCCAATATGACATCTAACAAGTCAGCGAGGCCTGACCACCCGATCGATATGACATCAACTCCAGTCAGCCGAGTCTGACCACCCGATCGATATGACATCTAACAAGTCAGTTAGCCTGACCACCCGATCCCGATATGACATCTAACAAGTCAGCGAGCCTGACCACCCGATCCCGATATAACATCTAACAAGTCAGCGAGCCTGACCACCCGATCCCGATATGACATCTAACAAGTCAGCGAGCCTGACCACCCGATCCCGATATAACATCAACCAAGTCAGCGAGCCTGACCACCCGATCCCGATATGACATCAACCAAGCCAGCGAGCCTGACCACCCGATCCCGATATGACATCAACCCAGTCAGCGAGTCTGACCACCCGATCCCGATATGACATCAACCCAGTCAGCGAGTCTGACCACCCGATCCCGATATGACATCTAACAAGTCAGTTAGCCTGACCACCCGATCCCGATATGACATCTAACAAGTCAGCGAGCCTGACCACCCGATCCCGATATAACATCTAACAAGTCAGCGAGCCTGACCACCCGATCCCGATATGACATCTAACAAGTCAGCGAGCCTGACCACCCGATCGATATGACATCTAACAAGTCAGCGAGGTCGACCACCCAATCCCAATATAACATCTAACAAGTCGAACCTGACCACCTGATCCCAATATGACATCTAACAAGTCAGCGAGCCTGACCACCCGATCCCGATATGACATCAACCCAGTCAGCGAGTCTGACCACCCGATCCCGATATGACATCTAACAAGTCAGTTAGCCTGACCACCCGATCCCGATATGACATCTAACAAGTCAGCGAGCCCGACCACCCAATCCCAATATAACATCTAACAAGTCAGCGAGCCTGACCACCCGATCCCGATATGACATCTAACAAGTCAGCGAGCCTGACCACCCGATCCCGATATGACATCTAACAAGTCAGCGAGCCTGACCACTCGATCCTGTTAGTCGCCTCTTGCAACAAGCATGGTTGCTGAAGACCAATTCTTACCTGGATCTTCACAGGGCCTGATAAGAGAACATAGGCCAGACAAACCTGTGACTGACAGCATGAGCACCGATCCAAGCTGTTGGAATACACTTTGAGAACTACCCTACCTCCTGGTAATGGTATTTGCTTTCTGTATATGTCAAATCAACTTACTGCTCCTTCGTACATGTAGGCCAGCACTCCAGCCACAGCCTCCAGCAGGAAGATCACCAACAGCAGGAAGGCGTACTGGCAAGTAGACGTGTCATCATTAATACACTGGTATTACTGTCTGGTGTTTAACATTAAGAAACAGAGGGACACTTAAGTACATAACCATGTTCTGATTACAGTATCAACTGTTGGAAACTTTAAATGAGTTTGGTTTTCTGTCGCTCTTAGCAATACTCCAGCAGTATCACGGCAGGGGACACCAGAAATGGGCTTCATGCATTGTACCCATGAGGGGAATCGAACCCGGGTCTTCGGAGTGACCAGCGGACGCTTTAACCATTAGGCTACCCCATTGCCCCGAGAAACTTTGAGACAGAGTGAGTGAATTGTGATTATCTGCATGTAACGGATCCATTAGAGTTAATGATTTACCTGTGATAGGGTGTACCTACAGTTAATGATCTACCTGTGATGGGTGCACCTACAGTTCATGATCTACCTGTGATGGGGTCATTTCATGGATTGTCACTCTTCACACTGAACATCTCAATGAACATAATTTAAGCTGAGCTTTATCCATCACGTACTGTACTACCATTATGTCATGTTTGGAACCTAGCATTCAGTCTACCAACACATAACTGACAGGGCCATGCCCCTCTACCATCCTGCTGTGATTATCAACTGCACAGACTATACAGAACTGCACGTTAAATTAACAGGTTGTAAACTGTATCTGAAGTATTTCCAGTTGTACGTCATTAAATGAGTGAGTTTAGTTTTACGCCGCACTCAGCAATATTCCAGCTATATGGCGACGGTCTGTAAATAATCGAGTCTGGACCAGACAATCCAGTGATCAACAACATGAGCATCAATCTATTCAATTAATATACGATGACATGTGTCAACCAAGTCAGCGAGCCTGACCACCTGATCCCGTTAGTCACCTCTTACGACAAGCATGGGTTACTGAAGGCTCATTCTAACCCGGACCTTCACGGGTCAGAGATCCAAGGATCAACCTGGGTCCATCTATATTCAAGTCATTAAGTTCAATCATGTCAGCTTATGATGATTTAAACTCCACAAAGAGATGTACACAATAAAACTACTTTCAAAAGACCCTCAAACATTGGTATGACACTGACAGACAATAACATATTCTGGGATTCAAACCCAAAACTCGGTGATCCTGGCACATCCAAGGTAAGCAACTCTACACAGGAAGCTGTAGAGCCTTATTAACAAATGAAAGAATGCAGGCTAAGCATTGTTACCGAGACGAGGCAGCATCGATTATCTTTGACTGTGCCAAGACATCCGAGGATTCCCACGAAGATGATGATGGTGCCGATGGCGAGGAAGAGGAAGGTGGTGGCGGGGTAGGTGTTGTTGCCGAGGAGGCTGACATAACGGTGCTTGTTGACAATTGTCCATATCCCCATAATCAGGAACGCCAGACCAGTCGCCTACAAACAAGAATCATATATTTAAATTCCACACCAATTATAAACACTGATCATGCTTATACATCTCAAAGATTCATGCATAGATTTTTATATCTTCGCTCGTTTAATGACCCACTTCCTGTATTCCAGCTCGACAACATCTGCAAACAACTGAGAATGGACCAGACAATCCAGTGATTGACATCATGAGCATCGATCTATGCAAATGGGACAAGATGATATGATCATTAAGTTAGACTAACTCTTAGTCCCTGAATACATTTAATTTTCATAGTAACAACTATAGTCCATTTGGCTCAAAAGCGGACCGATGAATTGCAATCTAACTCGAAAACTAATGAACATATAATACTCAATAAAACGCTGATCATAATCAAAACATCAGACCAACTCTGTGATTTGTTTGCAGAATTTATGTCCTAAAAATAAAAAAGTTGTTTAACAAACTATCATTAAAATTTTGACACAGTTCTCTATTTGTTACGAGGGAGGAGTGCAAAGAAAGGGACAGCCAGGTGTGCGAGAAATGATGGAGACGGCACAGCAAAGGTTAATGAATCAATAGCTTTGTCGGTACGTGCTTCTCTAACACCTGTCTGTCCCTTTCTTTGCACTCCTCCCTCGTAACAAATAGAGAACTGTGTCAAAATTTAATGATAGTTTGTTAAACAACTTTTTTAATTTTAGGACATAAATTCTGCAAACAAATCACAGAGTTGGTCTGATGTTTTGATTATGATCAGCGTTTCATTGAGTATTATATGTTTATTAGTTTTCGAGTTAGATTGCAATTCATCGGTCCGCTTTTGAGCCAAACAGACTATAAACCCATTTAAAATGAAAAGGAACCCCAGTGAGTTGGGAGCTTCAGGGGAAATCTAGACTTGCTTCATTTAAGGCTTTAGCATTGCAGGGAGGGCTAGGCTGTAGGGAAAATAATGTGGTTCAGGGACTGTGAGACCTGAGGAAATCTAGACTTGCTTCATTTAGGGCTTTAGCGCTGCAGGAAGGGCTAGGCTGTAGGGAAATAATATGGTTCAGGGACTAGAGACCTGAGGAAATCTAGACTTGCTTCAATAGCTGCAGGAATGGTTGTAGGAAAATAACTGTGGTTGGGACTGTGACCTGAGGAAATCTAGACTTGCTTCATTTAGGGCTTTAGCATTGCAGGGAGGGCTAGGCTGTAGGGAAAATAATGTGGTTCAGGGACTGTGTGACCTGAGGAAATCTAGACTTGCTTCATTTAGGGCTTTAGCATTGCAGGGACTGGAGGGCTAGGCTGTAGGGAAAATAATGTGGTTCAGGGACTGTGTAGGAGACCTGAGGAAATCTAGACTTGCTTCATTTAGGGCTTTAGCATTGCAGGGACTTGCTTCATTTAGGGGCTAGGCTGTAGGGAAAATAATGTGGTTCAGGGACTGTGAGACTGTAGGGAAAATAATGTGGTTGAGAGGAAATCTAGACTTTGCTTCATTTAGGGCTTTAGCATTGCAGGGTGGGCTAGGCTGTAGGGAAAATAATGTGGTTCAGGGACTGTGAGACCTGAGGAAATCTAGACTTGCTTCATTTAGGGCTTTAGCATTGCAGGTTGGTCTAGGCAGTAGTGAGTGAGTGAGTATAGTTTTATGACGCTTTTAGCAATATTCCAGCAAGACCATGGCGAAAATAATGTGGGGGACACCAGAAATGGCTTCACACATTGTGGACGCCCATTGACCATGGCGAGGGGGACACCCAGAAATGGCTTCACACATTGTACCCACCCGGTCTTTGGCATGATGAGTGAATGCTTTAACCACTAGGCTACCCCACCGCCCCGCTAGGCATAAGGGAAAATAATGTGGTTCAGGGAATGTGAAACAGACAACATCCAAGTCGGTGAGCCTGACCTCCCAATCCTGTGTGTTGCCTTTACGAAGAGCATGGTTCTGGAGACCAATTCTTATCAGGCTGACTGACTGACTGAGTTTGGTTTTACGCCGCTTTTAGCAATATTCCAGCAACATCACGGCGGGGGACACCAGAAATTGGCTTCACACATTGTACCCATGTGGGGATTCGAACCCGGGTCTTCGGCGTGACGAGCCAACGCTTTGACCACTAGGCTACCCCACCGCCCCATTCTTATCAGGATCTCTACAGGGTTCATGCACAAGTGGGGACATGCCTGAAGTGGGCTAAAGAATGTCACAAATTTTTAACCATAGGTGAGAGGAATATTACAAAGAATTTATATTTTATGAGAATCGAAAATCGTGTTAATAGCCATCCATGCCCAACTTCAACTGTGAGTAGGTTTAGTGTGCAGGTGGACACAGTTTCAGTACTATCGGAGGACAGTAATGCAGGACAAGGCATAGATAGATTTTTTTACACTGTGAAAACAGAACAAACTATAAGGACCATAATTTGGGCATGTCTAGCATACAGCACATCCTTGCAACCAAGAAACACAGAAAATTAAGATGGAAATCAGTGCTTTCTCTTAACACCACCAAACAAATACGTAAAATGTATTTTAAAAATGGCCCTTGCTATCTATATAAAATATTTTTTAAATAATTGAAATAAAAAACTCATCAATAAAAGTTTAAAATACAACAAACTACCATGATCCCTCTTCATCTCAAACCCAATTTTTTCCCCTCCTTTCTTCACATTTTTTTAAAAATCCCAGATATGCTTAAACTTGGGGCCTATCAACACTAATACTGACTGACTGAGTTTGGTTTTACGCCGCTTTTAGGAATATCCCAGCAACATTACGGCGGGGGACACCAGAAATGGGCTTCCTACATTGTACCCATAAAGGGATTTGAACCCGGGTCTTCGGCGTGACGAGCCAACGCTTTAACCACTAGGCTACCCCACCGCCCCTTCAACACTAATAACAGAGAAACCTATTCACTAATTACCTATTTACTCACTTAACAAACTAGTTGCATAACTTCAATAAAGGCCTCCTAATTCCATTCTTCCCTGGCATAGCATTGAGACCCAAAACAATCAAATATTTTTCAGCCTAATTGGTAAAACTCTGTCCAACTCAGCAGCTGTTCCGTGTAAGATAAACACGATAAAGTCCCTGTACTTCATCACACATGTAACAATCTGCTGACTCGGCTGTTTCTTTACACATAGCTAACCAGCCCGGTGGGAGACCCAGACCTGTGATCCTGCACCCCACTTGAGTGTATCCAGCCCTTCATTAATCCACTGGGACAGGCAGGGAGGGCAGCAGTTTGTACATGGCGGTAATGCCTGGCTGACAGCTGCTCTCAGAGCTGATAAACCCACTACACCTTCAGACAGACCGACTTTACTGTGGGTTTATAGCATTGTAAAGGTGCAACATGATAACAATTGTTTAAAAGAGTATGTCAGATATGATTATATTTCTTCAGCTATCATATTCTGATAAAGAAATTTTCCAGTCCCTCCTGGAATCCACGATTCCACTGTTGCAGAATAAAACGCGGAAAATACCTTTTGAAGCAGAAAGATGTCTGGTTCGCGGAAAACGCATTTTTATGCAGAAAACCTGCAGAAATTCCCATTTTCTGCCGCTGGATTGACTTATTTTGAAAGTTGAATCAAGATTGACTATCAACCAAAACGAAAAGCAGGGGTAAATGTCAAAAGTATGACTGATTATACAAAACCAAACTGAGACATTTGTTATATGACAATATTTCCAAAATATTCACGAATAAAGATGATTTATTCATAAAGTAATCTTTTCTTAAGCACCTTACAATAATATTACTTGAATGTGACACTGCAATTATGTTCACAAAATCGATTTTTTTAAAGATAAAATTATATTATTTTGTTGTTTTTAACTGCCGAATTTTGAAAAATAGGATGCAGAATTTACTTAAATTTACCACGGAATTCTTAAAAATTTGTTGCAAAATCCAGGAGGGATTGATATTCCCTGGTGATAACAGATCAAATATCTTAAGACTTCACCAAGATTTCAGAAAGCAGAGCTGAATCAATGAAGCATGTGTCAGTGGGAATAAATTTTTTTAATGCATTTTAAACGCATACTTCCATGGTTGCAATAAATTATTTGGATAATGAAATCCTGTTTATCATAAAGAAAATAAACATGAAATTAACTAAAGGGGTTAAAATAGGGTTCATATATATCCAAGAAAGTAAATGACGTTTTTCATTTAGCTACTCAAAACAAGCTAAGTGAATGAGTTTAGATTTGCGCCACTTTTAGCAATATGGTGGGGGACACCAGAAATGGGCTTCATACATTGTACCCAGGTTCTCAGCATAACGAGCGGATGCTTAACCACTAGGCTACCCCACTGCCCCGCTACCCCGCTAGTGCTACCCCACTGCCCGCTACCCCACTGCCCCGCTAGTGCTACCCCACTGCCCCGCTACCCCACTGCCCGCGCTTAGTGCTACCCCACTGCCCGCTACCCTATGCCCCCGCTGCCCCCCAAAACGAGCTAAGAACACTCTCGGTTGGAAAGCAAGTTACAATTTTACTCACAAGGTACAACACTGCAACTTAAACAAAAATATATAAAACCAGATTTACACACAAAGAGAAGCAATAATCAAATACATCAATTGTAAATGATGACAGGTACATGACGGACTGAGTGGTATTTGAGGTATGTATGTTGGAGTTCCATGTAAGAAGTGTTTATTTAGTGTTATCGTAACCTTTCACACCCCAATTATACACTAAGCCCATCTTCAACACTATAAAACCAGCCAATCAGTTCCAAATAACTCAGCTGACAGTTCAGCCGATCTATGCAAGCACTGGCATACTGACACATACTTCCTGGGTCACGAAACCTCCTCCACATTGAGAGGCAGGCCAACATACTTTATTTCTAGATAACCCTGGTCTTTGAAGTTACTAAATGTTTATACATATATATAAAAGTTAGGAGGTGCATATATTTTTTTTAATTTAATTAATTTTCTTTAAAGAAAACATGTATGCCATGTGTCATGTATGCCTTTACTTTTAAGTTCTTTGAGAGGCAATTTAGAAGTTGTAAAGATGAAGGAAAACCAACTTCTATGGATAGTCAACTTCTTAATTGCAATGAGTGCGGCGTTTCTGTGTAGGTTCTAACACCATTATCACTTGTAAACTATGTTATATACTGAACAACATTAGAAACTCACCACACAAAAATGCACCGACAATGCTCAGTTATCATGGATACATTTCAGTCTGACAGGGATATTTCATATTATATGGGTGGTGCGTTTCTAATGTTGTTCAGTATATTTGGGATTACACTTTCTCAGTAAAGTATAGATTCTAGTCCCTTTTTGGTTGAGTCCCACTTGGGATTTGAACCCACACAGCGGTGGCTGAGCAGGTTAGGCGGCTGACTTTGTGTCCTGGCAATTCGGTGCCTGACTCTGACGGTGTGGGTTCGAATCCCGGATGGGACTCAACCAAAAAAAAGTACTAGAATCTGTACTTTACTAAGAAAGTGTAATCCCAAATATAACATCTGTTACATTTGACCACTTTCTAAATGGTATTGTTTATTCATAACCATTGCTTGATGACAATGCTAGTACAAACACCGAAACATCGCACGCATTGCAAAAAAGAAGTTGACTATCCATAGACCTTGGTTTCCCTATTCCTTTACTTGCAAATGTGTGTTACAAGAAACCACCAAAAGAACAAGGTGGTTGTCCGATTATTAGGGTTGGGGTTTGTTTCAGATCAGCAAGTTTATGAGATCCAATAATGAGCACAAAATGTATACTTGTATCACTAATGAATAATACTGACAGACACAGGGGCGGATACAGCTTTTTTAGAAAGGGGGGGTGCATACTTTTGAGAAAAGGGAGGGTGCACATGTCATTTTCATCCGAATTTCTATGGTTTAGGAGAAAAGGGGTGCACCCCTGCACCCCCATTCTGGATCCGCCTATGAGACAGATGATCTTATCTAGTACTGACAGGTAACCTTTCCAAGATGCTGAAGTGCAATGAAAATGTGACATTATGAGATACAGTCAAATCCCGATGAGTCGAATCGCTGGGGACCAAGTAAAAGATTCGGCTTATCGATGTATTCGAGACATAGGTATGTCTATGAGGGTAGAAAAAAAAGATGATTGAATATTGAACAATTCCTTTATTCAGCACATCATATCTAAATATAGCACAACAATACATTAGGTGACATAGATAATGGATAATAATGGATAATGGAAACAAACATTATACAAATGAGAACACATTTCAATACTAGCACAATAAAATGCAAAATACATGTACATTTACCTCTTAAAATCCATGAACAAAATCTATCGGCAATCGATAGGTATACTTGTACATGCCGCCATCTTGAATCTTATTAATACAAAAAGATGAACTCACTTCTGGAAAAAGTCTGACATTAATGTTTGTTTCTGTGAATTTCCCTTACATTTATCCACAAATTCACAGACGCTTGCCAAGTGGGAAAAATGTTCGTTGTTTGTACCTGGGACCGACTCGAGAAATTCCTCCAGTCCTTCACAGAACCAAGTAAAAAGAGCGTTAGGCGGAATTTCAAACTCTCTCGCAATTTCACTCTTGGATTTGGTACCTGCCTCCACTGCAGTGATCGCTGCAAACGTCTTGTCAATAGTGTGCACTTTTAGAATGCGCTTATGTTTTGGAGTTGATGTTTCCGATCTGTTTATCCCCCCAGATTGCTGGGAACATTGTAACTCCGCCATGATATACAGATGATGAATAGTTATAACCGAATGAAAGCTGCTATATAACGCAACCGATTTGATTGAGTTAACTCAATGTCATGTGCTAATTCTTCCGTTTCCGTAAAATCACTAATCTGCCTTTTGAACTCACCCGACAATAGCGGAAAGGTGCGAGCCGCGCTGGTTTGTTAATTGGATCAGTTAGTTGGATCACCAATTAACTTTTCATTGACTGACTTCGGCTTATGTATACAAGATTACTATTGTTTGAATCTCATGGGACCAAATTTCCATTTCGAGTCATCGTGTGTATTTATGAGACGAATTCGTGTAACCGGAAATCAAATGATGACAAAAATAGCAGGGAATGGTCGGGACCGACAGGTACTTCGTGTTATGCATAATATTCGAGACACCGGCATTCGACTCATCGGGATTTGACTGTATATGTAAATTTATATTATTAACATATTTTATTAAAAACTTTGATTGGAATTTTCCATTTTGGTCATATTGAGTACTAGTATATACAGAAGGGGGGAAATGTATTATCTGCAAGTGTTTTTTTATATCAAGCCTAAGAAATTACCAAGTGTTGCAAATGAGACCATATGTCACAAAAACTTGTCTTTCTTATGTAAAGATCATTAATTAACATACAAATTGTTGAAAGAAACTGCCACAGAAAGTTTGACTAGACAAACAATGGAACATGAACTAGAAAGTTAGTAGCAAATTCAAACTTTTATAGTTTCTATTTCCTAAAAGATATTCACGGAAATGGGCAGTCAGATATAAGTAGAATTTTCACGATTTTTTATTTTTCACAAAAGGGGTACGGAAGTGAGTAGGAAGTACTGTAGAGCTTTGAAACTTTTTATCTAACAAAAATAAAACTTCAAAGATGAATTGTGAAGTGTTACCCTGAACCATGGATGAGTGAGTGAGTGAGTGAGTGAGTGAGTGAGAGGAGTGAGTGAGTGAGTGAGTGAGTGAGTGAGTGAGTGAGTGAGTGAGTGAGTGACTGAGTGAGTGAGTATAGTTTTACGCTGCTTTTACTTAGCAATCTTCCAGCAATATCACGGCGGGAGACACCAGAAAAGGGCTTCAAACATTTTACCCATGTGGGGAATCGAACCTGGGTCTTTAACATGATGAGCGAACGCTTTAACCATTAGGCTACCCCACTGCCCCTGAACCTTAGATGCATATTGTTGTTTTTAAGTAAAGTGAGTGAGTATGGTTTTATGCTGCCTTTCGCAATATTGTAGCAATATCAGGGTTAGGAACACCAGAAATGGGTTTTGCATATTGTGCCATGTGGGAATCAAACCCAGGCCTTCGGTGTGATAAGTAAACACATTAACCACTAGGCCATGCCCTCGCCCATTTTCAAGAAAATGATTGCAATTGGCACAGACCAAATACACTGCATCCAGAGAGACATACAACAATTCACTGAACCAAATTCTAGGGCTGGTACGATTCACCTATGTGCATGCATCGTGATACATATCGTATCGCAGGTAAAATATCACGATATGTATCGTATCGTGACATAGTGTATCGTCCCAGCCCTACCAAATTCTGGGCAAGAAATATACATTTCCTCTTGTTATTGTCTTCATTATATCTTACAGCACGCAGCACTACTTCATTACCTCACAGGACCGGTGAAAACACTGCTGGAATTATTAATAAGACTGACTGACTGACTGAGTTTGGTTTTACGCCGCTTTTAGCAATATTCCAGCAACATCACGGCGGGGAACACCAGAAATGGGCTTCACACATTGTACCCAAGTGGGGATTCGAACCCGGGTCTTCAGCGTGACGAGCCAATGCTTTAACCACTAGGCTACCCCACCGCCCCGATTAATAAGATGTCCTCTTGACTACTAGTTTTTAAGGTTAGGTAAAACCCAGGTCAGGTTGTAATTATGAGGGATATAGAGAAGGAATACTTCACATATATGACTAGGTACAGGGCAGATATACTGTCAAAGCAATGCTTGGTCTCTGAACATTTGCAATTTTGAAAGAATCAAATAACTCCAATAAATTAAAAAGGATACCAGTTACCACAGTGATACAGAACCTGAAGGAAAAAATAGACATGCTTTATTTGGGGCTTTTGCATTACAGAAAGGCTGGACAGACGGGAAATATTGGATTCTGTGAGACAGACTGGATATAATGTAACCCCCATATCGCCTTGCTATTGTATACAACACTGTGTCATACTGGGTCATGCTAGGTCACACTAGGTCACACGAAATGTACATTGATTACATTTCCTAGCACCTAGTCATATAGTATTAGAAGGCTCTGTGTGTCATGTGTGAGTCATTTGAGATTGGCGTCTTAACTACGCTGGCAGATAAAGTGGTTGAGATACAGAAATAATACGAATCAAACCCATGAATGATCTTTCAAGTTGCAAGCATACATGAGTAGATTGCACAAAGTTACAAACACAATAGTAATAGTTACAAACACATAAAACAGGTTGTCTCACGGAGCCTCCAACCTGCCAGGAATCCAAATTAGAACATTTTATGGTTCCAGGAAACTATGTTCATTGTAAGATGCAACTAGATGCATTCAGTGGTAAGGCTCATTGACCAAGTTCATTGTATGTCATTGTACTCTAACTGTGTGGCTGGAGACTCATGATGTCAATCACAGGATAGTCTGGTTCAGTTATTTACAGACTGGGGCGGTGGGGTAACCATGTGGTTGAAGCATAAATTGGCTCAGCACGCCAAAGACCCAGGTTCGATTCTCAACATGTGTGAGTGGGTGAGTGAGTGAGTTGGGTTTTACGCCGCTTTTAGCAATATTCCAGCAACATCACGGCGGGGGACACCATAAATGGGCTGTACACATTGTGCCCATGTGGGGATTCGAACCCGGGTCGTCAGCGTGACGAGCCGAAGCTTTAACCATTAGGCTACCCCATCGCCCTCTCAACATGTGTACAATATGTTACAGGGGTGTCACTAAGCTACCATTATAAAAAAAAGCCCGGGCTTACACATGATTGTTGCTCAAATGGATGGGCAATCAATACTTAAATCTAAATATAAAGCTTTGCAAGCTATTGGGCTTACACGAAAAAACATGGCTTACTACGCGCCTGTGTTAAGTCCACAGGTGTTCCCCCACCGTCATATTAATGGAATATTGCTACAAGCAGGTAAAAACTCACTCACTGTTTGCAGACTGAATCACAGAGCTAGATTATTGCTGAGCACTAGAGGTGGTCCGATTAATTGAAATAATCGAAGATTGGTCGGAGTGACTAAACGACCAAGCAATCGATCATAATTTCTCATAATCGAACACAACCAATTCTGGAACACTTGTTTTCATTAACAATATTTTTCACATGGTTGGTTTTGTCTTATATTTTTGAAGCACTACAAGCACGTTTCAAGTCATGATTAAATTTATCTTAAAGATTCCAAGAAATTTATGTTCCTAACATACTAGTCATCCTTTAAAGATATGAAATTTTGCCCAAAACCCAAAAAACTACATTTTTTCCCCTTATTTTTATGTGCATTAACAAATTTCATAAATGATGCTCACCAATTATTTTCGATGATTGATCGGGTAGTACTGACTGACCGATGATTGATCGGTAGTAATGAACCAATCATCAATTATGAGATTTTAACCAATTCCCAACACTACTGAGCACTGCATTTAATATCAAACATTCAATGTCTTAAATCTCCATTCTCAAGCTTGATATGGTCCCTAAGCTATATTCCTTCACTAATGTTCCCCAAGTCTAACATTACACATTTCAGCAACCATTGTGTTTGGTAGACTCTGTAACAATATCAAGTTACAAGACTACCCAATAAACCCTACTATAAACTCACAAGCCAGCTTAAAATATAAACACTTTCACTTTCATTTGTCACTGTCAGTCTACTCACGGTCTAGTACTATAAAAACAGGGCATTAATCAAGTTTGCTGCATATATAAAACCGGCCTAATAATAACTTGTGTATAGTATCTTGAAACACAATGGCGACCTTATTAACAGGTTCATCTAACCATGCAGCAACTCTGAACCTGTCCACCCTGTATAAGATATCTATCAAGAGACTGCCTGTTTGATAAATTGACTTGCATTAACCATGAAGGAAATATCACTAGTGTATCCAAGTTGAGTTCACATCAGATAATATAACACAAGTGTTTAAAATTCTGAGGCCAGGGTTTGTCATGAGTGTTATATTGAACAGGGAAGATGAGTGCTAGGGGAAAATGAATAAAGATACATTTGTGATCTCCGTTGTTTAATGCTGCACTCAGCAATATTCCAGCTATATGAGGGTGGTCTTTAAAAAATTGAGTCTGGACCAGACAATCCAGTGATCAACAGCATGAGCATCAGTTTACGCAGTTGTGTTTATATTATGATAATATTTGTTAAATTAATACACATAATTGACATACCTGCATGTTAGTGTATTACAGTTTGGTTATATTGATACACCTGCATGTTAGTGTATTACAGTTTGGTTATATTGATACACCTGCATGTTAGTGTGTTGCAGTTTGGTTATATTGATACACCTGCATGTTAGTGTGTTGCAGTTTGGTTATATTGATACACCTGCATGTTAGTGTACTACAGTTTGGTTATATTGATACACCTGCATGTTAGTGTACTACAGTTTGGTTATATTGATACACCTGCATGTTAGTGTGTTGCAGTTTGGTTATATTGATACACCTGCATGTTAGTGTGTTGCAGTTTGGTTATATTGATACACCTGCATGTTAGTGTACTACAGTTTGGTTATATTGATACACCTGCATGTTAGTGTATTACAGTTTGGTTATATTGATACACCTGCATGTTAGTGTATTAGTTTGGTTATATTGATACACCTGCATGTTAGTGTATTACAGTTTGGTTATATTGATACACCTGCATGTTAGTGTATTACAGTTTGGTTATATTGATACACCTGCATGTTAGTGTATTGCAGTTTGGTTATATTGATACACCTGCATGTTAGTGTACTACAGATTGGTTATATTGATACACCTGCATGTTAGTGTATTACAGTTTGGTTATATTGATACACCTGCATGTTAGTGTACTACAGTTTGGTTATATTGATACACCTGCATGTTAGTGTATTACAGTTTGGTTATATTGATACACCTTAATCATATTAGTGTGTTGCAGTTTGGTTATATTGATGCACCTGCATGTTAGTGTATTACAGTTTGGTTATATTGATACACCTGCATGTTAGTGTATTACAGATTGGTTATATTGATACACCTGCATGTTAGTGTATTACAGTTTGGTTATATTGATACACCTGCATATTAGTGTACTACAGTTTGGTTATGTTGATACACCTGCACGTTAGTGTATTACAGTTTGGTTATATTGATACACCTGCATGTTAGTGTATTACAGTTTGGTTATATTGATACACCTGCATGTTAGTGTATTACAGATTGGTTATATTGATACACCTGCATGTTAGTGTACTACAGTTTGGTTATATTGATACACCTGCATGTTAGTGTATTACAGTTTGGTTATATTGATACACCTTAATCATATTGTGAAACAGATGGATTATAGAAACACACCTGGAATATAGAGATACCACTTGATTATATTGCAGATTATTGTGAAATACATTTTGGATACATTGGTATATTTTGATTATACGTGACACAGATTGATTATAAAGATACACCTGAATTAAAGGGTGATACACCTGGACTATAGAGTGATGTTTTATTGAACAGATATCCTTTCCTTATATATTGATACGACCAGACAGTCATGTTACATCTGGCCTAGAGTGTATTTGAAAGGCACCTTCATTTTGTTACCCATGAATACCAATTGGAAACCTTATTGTGAGCACATCCCCTACAGGACTATCAGCTGACACCCCCTGCATCCCACCCCCTGGGTCTGTGTACACTGCTTCACCCTGGGGAGAGTCCAGCCTGGGGTGATGGGTGACAAGCACCTGCTGTGTTGGACATCTGGACAGGTGGGGACCTAAGGGATTCCTCGCCTCAGGGCGGTCACTGACTTCCACCCTTTTAGCTAAGACACCAGCAGTAATCCTACAACAGTGTTAATTAGCAAGCAGCCCCAGGACCCAGTAGGGTCATGTCTTCAGGGTAATCAATTCAGGATGTAATCGTTTCACTTGACCACATGATCAGGATGAGGTGGTGAGAATATACTTTGTTTACGTAAATTTCAGAAACAGCATCCCTTCCTATTAATGTTTTGTTTGTTGTTAATGTCATTGTTGAATGCCATTCTTTAATGCTATTGATTAATGTCATTTAAAGTTTAGTTGTTTAATGTCGTTTAATGTCGTTTTTTTATCATATTGTTTAATGTCATTTAATGATAATGTTTAATGCTATTGTTTAATGTTGTTTAATGCTATTGTTTAATGTCGTTTAATGATAATGTTTAATGCTATTGTTTAATGTCATTGTTTAATGTCGTTTAATGCTATTGTCTAATGTTGTTATGTAATGCTATTGTTTAATGTCATTGTTTAATGCTATAGTTTAATGTTGTTGTTTAATGCTATTGTTGAATGTTGTTATTTAATGCTATTGTTTAATGTCATTGTTTAATGACGTTTAATGCTATTGTTGAATGTTGTTTAATGCTATTGTTTAATGTTGTTGTTTAATGCTATAGTTTAATGTTGTTATTTAATGCTATTGTTGAATGCTGTTGTTTAATGCTATTGTTTAATGTTGTTGTTTAATGCTATTGTTGAATGTTGTTGTTTAATGCTATTGTTTAATGTTGTTGTTTAATGTTATTGTTTAATGCTATTGTTTAATGTCATTGTTTAATGCTATTGTTTAATGACGTTTAATGCTATTGTTGGAATGCTGTTGTTTAATGCTATTGTTTAATGTTGTTATTTAATGCTATTGTTGAATGCTGTTGTTTAATGCTATTGTTTAATGTTGTTGTTTAATGCTATTGTTGAATGTTGTTATTTAATGCTATTGTTTAATGTCATTGTTTAATGACGTTTAATGCTATTGTTTAATGACGTTTAATGCTATTGTTGAATGCTATTGTTTAATGCTATTGTTTAATGTTGTTATTTAATGCTATTGTTGAATGCTGTTGTTTAATGCTATTGTTTAATGTTGTTGTTTAATGCTTTAGTTTAATGTTGTTATTTACTGCTATTGTTTAATGTCGTTTAATGCTGCTGTTGTTTAATGCTATTGTTGAATGCTGTTGTTTAATGCTATTGTTTAATGTTGTTGTTTAATGCTATAGTTTAATGTTGTTATTTAATGCTATTGTTTAATGTTGTTTAATGCTATTGTTGAATGTTGTTATTTAATGCTATTGTTTAATGCTGCAGTCAACAGTATATGACACCAAGCGTAAAACATCCAGTCTGGAAAGTCAATCCAGTGACTGACTTCATGAGCATCAAAAGAGGCAATTTGCTAACAGGGCAGAGATGTTCCCAACAGAACAACCAATGATTTGAGATTTAAAGTGAGTGAGTGAGTATGGGGGAGACCAGAAATGGGCTTCACACATTGTACTCATATGGGGAATCAAACCCGGTCTTCAGCGTGATGAGCAAATGCTTTTACCACTGGGCTCCCTGAGATGTAAACACATCACCAGAAGATGCCAA